TGTGAGGGGGGGGGGGGGGGGGGGGGGGGGCTGTATTTCAGGCACCCTGTGAAAGAAAGAAGAGCATCCCAGGAACTCTGTAAAAGTAGGGTGGGGAGAAGAAGGGCATCCCAGGATCTCTGTGGAAAACAGAGGGGAAAAAAAGGAGGCAACAAAATAGCGACAAAGAGCTGTGACCTAATATTGCAGATACATTTAAATGGGTTCATGAGGTCATCCGACCTTGTCCATAGCCAGCTTCCTGCTCATTTGCATTACAAATTAACTAGAGTGAAGTGATGATTCAATAGATGGGGCAACAACTGTGAACATCTAACTTCACTTAAAACAGAAATATCATATTTGCCAGGGTGCTGGTGAGTTAAATAGCATATCCCCACCAGAATCCTCAGTTCTGCCTGATTATAGCGGCTATTATTAAGTAAAATTATGCTTTCACACTACTTTGATGAAGGTACTTCAGAAAATCCTATCACTGGAATTTCTGAGGAATATACCAAGCTGGGGGAAAGTGATGACTCCACCTTTGCTATACCAAAACCTATATATAGGTTTTGGGTGGAGTGGACCTTTAAATGGGCAGTCCACTTATAACTAATGTATATTATATGCAGATGTGGAGTTAAACTACCGACTACAATTTTGGGACAGCTAGCAACCACACTATGGCAGGACTGTACACATTTTTGCAAATGACCAAAATATGCAAAGGTTGGTTGTGTAACTGGCATCAATGCAGGAATAATACTTGCAGTCTAGTGCAGAAAATACAAAGCCTACAGCAAAGTGGGATGGGGGTAGCAGAAGGGAGGAACCTCTTCTGAGTTAAAAGCATTAAAGCATGACTGTTCCTTTATTTATCAACTGTATGTTTCGAATGATATTATATTCTGTACAGCTTCCCTTTTATTTATTGTTTAGGCTTCTAAACATTGAGAAAGTGAATTTTTACCCAAATTTATTATGATTTGGAATCTCAAGGGCTACTCAGGAAAGCATGACACATCAAGGGGCTAGTATGCTGTGACTGAGACTCAACACATGGGAGTTCACAAATAAAACTCTCATACATATAACCCACGTTAGTAAATGCCTTGTAGCCAATCAAGGTTAGATTTTCCATATTTCAGGCAATGCAGCAGGTGAAGTGAGACTTCACTGGCTGCAGAGGTGTACAATACAGGTCATAAAGATATTCATAGAGGAGATGTCTATGCGGAAATTACATATGATCTAATCTGTTGCTTTTGTGTGCTTCTTACTCCCCCAGCTGGAGAACCTCATGTATTACAATCAGAATAATCACTCCAAAGTGGTCCTACGGGATTTCTACTTGTCCTGTTTTGAGAGCGGAGAAATTACAGAGCCATGTGGGACCCCAGAATATCTGGGTAAGTATCAGGAAATACAATTATAAATGTAAGATAAAAACTGACAGTCTCTGGTGGCTTCAAAATTCATCTTGTATGACTTGCTAGCTTGAGGAGAACATGTCGTGACTACCAAAGTGTATTAGCTGCAATTGCTGGTAGAGTACAAGTGTCTTCTAAAGCCTTCAATGACCGACATTTGTTTTTAGCTCAGTTGCTTTATTTCGCCTGGGGAGGACCCTGAATCTTGGCCCCAGGCTATTATTGAGATAAAGTCCTGCTCCCTCCTGGCACTAAGCCTTGCCTCCTGCCATTACCTATCCAATATGATTGAAAGGGGATGGGATTTAATCTAGGCTTAATAAGGAATATCTTTAGGTGTGATTATTACACTGGAGCATCAGCAAAGGAGGAGGTGCTAACATTATCCTTCTAATATACTCAAAAGGGTATATCTTTTTAAAAAAAACAACAACAAAAAACAGTTGAATCCAGACAAATTCCTGCCATGATAGAGCGGGATCAAGCCCGGTGGGGAATCATTCACAAAATAGATAATTTAGTCATAGAATACAGTGAAGTGACGAGTGCTAAGGACTGTAACTAGTCATATCATAAATATGAACAACAATACCAAAGCCTGAATTTGCCATTGAAGAATGGAGGTACAAATGATGGGTGAACACCAGCAAATATAATTTGCTTATGGCAATGAATGAACATCAGATCTCCAGTTTTTTCAACTTTCCCCTAAAAGGCTAAAGCCTTTGTGACTGGGAAAACAACATCTGCCCGTTTTATTCTACATGGATTCTATCAGTGCTAGGTACTAAGGCAAAGGGAAACTGGTGAAGTGCTATAACGTTTATTGCTATGTCAGCTGAAAGGAAAAATCTGCATGTTTGCTGGCTTTTTTGGCATCATCATTCTTTCCATTAATGCCAAAATGATCTAACTCTTTATGTCACCAGCTCCAGAGGTGGTAGCACGACACAGATATGGTCGGCCTGTGGATTGCTGGGCAGTCGGCGTTGTTATGTTCATTCTGTAAGTAGAGGTGTTACCTGCATACGTATCCTCTTTCCCCTTTAAAGGGCAATGTCCCTTCTTCTTTAAACCTTCATTATCTGTCAAACGTACCAATAAAACACTATATGGACAAACGTATGTGGTCACCCCCAAGTTATCGAGTTTAGGTGTTTCCAGTAAAGGGTACAGTTGATCATGCAGCATACCAAAGGCATTTTAGACAGCTACGTGCTTCCAACCCGTAGCAGCAGTTTGAGGAAGGGCCTTTTCCTGTTCCAGCATGACTGTGCTCCTGTGCAACAAAAAGCTCCATAAAGACATGGTTTGATACGTTCAGTGAAGAATCTCAAGTGGCCGCTACATAGCCCAGACCTCAACCCCACTGAAAACCTTGGGGATGAATTGAATAGAATGGAAAATTGATTGCAAGCCAGGTCTTCACATCCAACATTGTTACCTGACCTCACAAGTGCTTTTTTGGCTGGAGAGGCACACATTTCCAACTGGCGACACACTGCAAAATCTTGTGGAAAGCCTTTCCAGAAGAGCGGAGGCTGTTAGGCTGCAGGGGTCAACTCCATATAAATGCCCATGGTATTGCAATGGGATGTTCAACAAGCTCTTATAGGTGTCATTGTCAGGTGTCCACAAACTTTTGGCCGTATAGTGTATTAGGGCGGCCAGCAAGCCAAACAAAAGGGAGGTTGAGAATCCTGAGGAATCTCTTTTACAAACTAAGTACCTTTGCCATGTTTGCAAGGAAGATAAATTCAATGAAGGTACATTAATAGAAAATTAGTTTATAGAGCAATAATAAATGTTATGTCAATTTTCTTTTTTTTTAAATGATCGTTTCCTTTAAAATAAGTCTCTTTTAAGCCTACACCTGTTCATCCCTAAATGGAGCGTAAGTGTTTCCTTCTTTTATATTTCATGGGGGCTGCCATGTTATACTGTATGTGTTTGACCTTCTATTACAAATTACTGTAGTAGAGTCTCACTTTCTGGCAGTCCCCATTAAGATAGATAGATAGATAGATAGGTGGTATTTCAGTTGGTCTTCAGTATTTGGATTAAAGCATCCCTTTAATCTTGTCCTAGTCTTTCTGGGAACCCGCCATTTTACGATGAAAATGAGGAAGAGGACAGTGAAAGTCACAACAGGAAAATTTTCCGTAAAATTCTGGCTGCTGAATACGAGTTTGATTCTCCCTATTGGGATGTGATTTCGGCATCGGGTATGTAAAGTTACTCTTATACTACTACAAATGGCGATGCAAGTGGATCATATGGGAGCCAATCAGTATGGCTCCCGAAGCAGTGAAAGTAGTGATAGGTTCACATGGGCAAGGTTTCTTCTGTAGCTTGTGTATTGGGCTAGGTAAAGATGAGGGGTAGAGATAGTATAGAGATAGTATAAATTAGGGATGCACCGATACCGATAATACCGGTAGTATCAGTATCGGTGCCAATACCAAGTATTTGGGCGAGTACTCGTACTCACCCAAATGCTCCAATACTTACCCCCATTGTATCAAGTACCAAAAGATAAATATCGGTACTCGTACTAGATACTGAAAAAACAGTATCGGTGCATCCCTACTATAAAGGTTTTGACTATGGTATGGTTAGGTTAACTATAACACTGCATAAGCTTACTTAAAGGAGAACTATGGGGTCAGTGTTTTTCCCCATAGTTCTCCTTGGGGTAACGGGAGGACACAAACTAGCGTCCTCCCGTTACCCTAAGCTCAGTATACCGCGAGCTACAGCTCGCGGTATACTGAGACGCCGCACCTGGAGCGGATCCCGACTTAGATGACGGGATCCGCCCAGCTGCGTGAGTGACAGCTGGCTCTGCCTATCTAGAGGCAGAGCCAGCTGTACCCGCCCCCTCCCCCGTCCGTTCCGCCAGTCAGCGCTGGCAGATCGGAGCGGGGAGAGGGGAATCCAGCCCCTCCCCCTGTCACGGCAGAGAGCCGTGACAGGATCGAGAGGTGAGGGAACCCGGTATGTTTTCCCTCACCTCCCGATCTACTGAGCCGACCTGTGACAGTCTCATTGTCACAGGTCGGCTTAGAACTATGAGGTGAGTGGAAATCACTCATGTCATAGTTCTCCTTTAATAATGGACACCTTGAACTACAAACACAGAGTCCTGTAGGTGTCTGATACCTTACTGCTTATAACACATCATCTGGTAATGACAAGCTCAATTTAAAACTATGGTTAGGACTAGATGTAAGACTAGGGTTACTGGTTCTAAGCAAATGATATAGGGTATCTATCATAGATACAAACGGGTGAACGTGTATCTATCTTTGGATGCAAAACATAGATATGGTCCTAAGCATTAAGCTGTAAATAATGTCTGATGTTTATATGGTTTAACATGCCATACCTGTTAACCAGGACGTATCTGGAAGTAAAGGAAAGTTCTGGCATATCAGTAAACCAGTCATCACTTGTTAACTTGGCAAACACTGGCAAAGCCAAGAGCAGCAGTAACTGTACAGTGACTTAGTTTGCAAATTGCAGAACTGCCAGTCTGGGCCTGCAACAATATTTGTCCATTATATTGTATTTCCTCTTTAGTAATGTAGAACAGTGCTCCCCAACCTTTTTATCGCCGCGGACCGGTCAACGTTTGATAATTTTACCGCGGCCCGCTGAGGGGGGGACGTTGATTGTTTATATTTTAGATTGTTTTGATTTAATAATTTTAATTTAATTGTATTTAAACATGCCTTCAAAATAAAATACAGTTACACCAAAAAATGAATATAAAGTGATTTAACATTTTAACTCACTGGTGTGTGGGAATCACCTGTCCCGATAAATCCATATTTCAAGTAGGACTCATGGTATTGTCTGTTAAAAGTTACATGTTTCTTTGATGTTGAAGGCCCTTCTTCTGTCTCTTCACTGGGCCTTTTCTTTTTCCCAAGGAAACTTTCTAACGACGTCTGTTTCGTACTCATTTTTGCTAATTTGTGTGTTAAATTTGAGCAAACACAATATACACGTACACCAAGCACTGTTAAACATGAGAAAGTACCGGTGAACAGAGAAAAGAGCGATACACACCTTCTCTTTACCAAAGCTACAACGCCACTGCCGCTTGCAGCCGCTCAGCTCCAGACGTCACCTAAAACCGCCCCGATATCACAATATTTTGCGCATGCGCGGCATTGGTGCGGCTTTAGGTGACGTCTCTCAGCTCCCGGTTAACCTCTCGTCCTGGAAAGTCAGACAAACCCGAGAGAAATACACCACAGTAAATAAAATGTAATGTTCCTTGGGCGGCCCGGTACCATATGATCCACGGACCGGTACCGGTCCGCGGCCCGGGGACCACTGACCATTGTAGCACAGTGATTGTTCATCAAGAATAAGGATTGCAGTCTGGCCTATAGAGGGTCAAACATACAATCTGGATGAACTATAAAATGAATATGATCTATAATGTGAATATAGCCCGTATTAACTGTGATCATGAAAATATGACCCCATTAGTAAGTATTGGTGAAAACATTAAACATTTTGAAGCTACAGTTCCAAAAATAAAGGAAAACCAGTTTGCATTACCCTGTAACAGATTCCACATCTAATCTTTACATGACAGTTTGTTGATGTGTTTTAATTCTAGCAAAAGATCTTGTGTCCCGTTTGATGGAGACGGAGCAGGAACAAAGAATCACAGCTCAGGAAGCATTAGGACACACATGGCAAGTGCTCAGAATTAAGTTCTTTCTCATATTTTGTAAAGGGAACCTGTCACAAAGAGTATCTCAGATGCCTCTGATGGAAGCAGACATTACTTAACTCATGGGACAGATACTAGTTCTGAAGCTGTGAAACAGAATCTTTTTCTCTGCAAGGCAAGTGTAGTCACTGATTTGTACCAGTGTATGCAACAGATGAGTGAAGAAATAGCAGCTCCTTTGAGAGGCGTTTGAAGAAGGTGTTGTTTTTTGACTAATACATTTTAAAGGGCACTCATACATGAGAATCATCATGACATGAATTTGAATATTCAGTCCTAAATGATAACTGTGCAGGCTTACTCATGTAAGATGTATGTTTGTACCCTGAATTAGTTTAACTTACTTAAAGGAGAATTATGAGGTGAGTGAAATAATTGGAGCCAATGTGTGACACTGAAGCTGTCACATGTAAGCTCTATAGATCGAGAACTGATCAATCACATACCGCTGATCGCTAACTTCCCATCCTTCTCCCTGCAGAGAGAGGTGCCTGTCAGTCACCCCTCCTCGGAGGGATTCCCCCCTCCTCTCTCGGTTCATTCAGTGCTGACTGGAGGGAGGAAGGGTGCGGGCACAGTTGGCTCTGCCTCTATGCAACGAGGTGGATTCCGACAATATTTTTGGGCCACAGCATGGCTCTGCGCTGTAAGCATATAGTGGGCAATAGCCCACTTTATACTGAGTTTTGGGTCACAGGAGGATATTAGTAAATGTCTTCCTGTGACCCTAAAGAGAACTACAGCCAAGAAAGGTTGGGCCATAGTTCTTTTAAATCAGATTCTGAGAGGTTACCTAAAGTATGATAGTTGCTGCCCTTTCTCCTACCTGTCCTTATACAGTTCTATCTGAGTTTACATAACTGTATTAAATAATAGAGCCCCAAAGTCATTTACCTTCCTTATAACTACAATCAGGCAGTTGGCAGTGCAGCAACTTTTAGATGTCAGGTAAACTCTGATCTCAAGCTGAAGAATCAGACCTAGACAAAGTAAACACAAAGAAATAGGGTGTGTATATAAATATTTATTAAGTAGCCCTGCACAATTTTAATATTTGAAGAGAGGTTTTTACAATTTATGACTTAAGCTGGCTATACACTGTTTGAATTTCGGCTGGCGCTGTCGACACCCTTTCCGCTGAATCCATCAATGGAATCTTCAAATGAACAAAGGCGGCAGCTAATAAGCTGCCGACTCTGTTCGTGAATTCTGACAGTGGCCGCTGTCTGCTGTCACAATACAATGAAGACAGTAGGAAATTCCTCCATCAGCCTGTTTGAAAATATTACAGTGTATGGGCAGTTTTAGTCTAAAACTAATTATTTAAAGCACATGTAAACACCTAAAACAAATGTTTATCAGTCCATAGAAGTGGGGGCTGCATTCCTTTTCTTTTTTCACTTTCTGTCCCTGAGTGGCTATGTGGTATAATCTGTCTATGGGGACAGTTATCCACCTAGGCTGGATTTCAAATGTGTCTACCTTTGTTAATATCCATTACATGGGGGTGAGGCATTCGTAGTGTACATAAGTTAGATAGCATTCTTTGTGCTCCCAGTTCAGCTCAAAGGTATTTTCTGCACTTGCTAAAAAATTAGAACTAATGCAGACATCATATGTAAGACCGGTAAGCTGAAATATATTAAATTGTTTTTCTTGGGTTTAATTATCCTTTATGTGGTATGGTGTTGAAATAGTGAAGGGCAGGGCACTGTTTTTGGTTCCTCCTGTGATGAGGGTTATAAAATATTGCATTTAACACTTCTTTCTAGTCAAGTGAACCTAACTATTGCTTGACTACGATAATGGAACCACAGCAAGCATAGGCTGTAAGGGAGTTGTGGTAAGGTTTAATGCATTATAATAAACTTATTTTCAGAAATGACAGCTGAAAATAATAGGGCTGCAACCAACTAATCGATTAATCAATAATGAGAATAGTTGTCAACTATTCTCATTATCAGTTAGTTGGTTGGATCCCCTAGGTCTCTCCTCTATGCAGGACACAGCAATCAATGGGCGGGTGCAATAGCCAGCCTGCTATTGCACCAGCTCACTATCTGCTGTATGTCTGTCTGCGGAATCTTGCCACTGACAGCTGTCATTTTTTGGCTGAAGCTATTCGAGCGCCATGTGCTTACAATACCATTATTTAAAAAAACCTATTATAAAAGGTGTGAAAGCCTGATAAATTTAGCTGCGGGAGGTGCGCTGCAGTGCCATTCATTTCAACCCCAAACGCGCCTCCCACCCACAGTGTGATTGCCCACACCGGAACGCACGGTACCGCGATGCAGTTCGTTCCAGTGCAGTGCAATTGCAAAAAATTATGCATGCAGTTTTATTCTGAAGTAAACTTTATGTTTGTAACACTGCATTTGTGTATTTCATTTTAAATTAAGGATGATATTTATTAAATTTTTATATCCGATTAATCGAAAAAATTATCGGCCAACTAATCGATTATGAAAATAATAATTAGTTGCAGCCCTAGAAAATAAAGGTTGTTATGGCGAATAACGTAGTGATTTGAGCTTATAGAGTCACCTGCCTTACACCAAAATTCTGTGACACCAAACTCTTTAACAACCTAACCTCTTTGCATCAACCATATTAAAAATGTGTGGAGCTCCACAAGCCAATTTAGAAAAGATGAGGGGCTGAGACTTGAGGTGGCTTAGTATTTTCCTTTTAAAAAACACTAAAACCCTAATTATTGTGAAACTAAAGGGCAGCTCCTACAGCACCGCATGTGTTTTTTTAAACACCTGAGCAAAATTATTCATAGGGTGAAAAATATATTTATTGTGAGATAAGAATTCTAGAATCCTTTGGTTCTTGAAAATTTTTAGAACAGCTTTCAATTTCCAATATCTTTTCCCTTGAAGGGTTTCAGGAAATGCTGCTTCCGAAAGGAACCTCAAAGAAGGTGTTTGTGCTCAGATTGAGAAGAACTTTGCTAAAGCCAAATGGAGGGTAAGTACCAGACACTGTGGGGTGTTTCTCAGTGTCTGTGATCTTGAGTGCTACAATGATACCACATCAAGATCAAGTTTTATTATTTAACTGAAGCAAGGGATCTGATTGCTTTCTTGTGGATAACAGCTCCAGTTTTGTCCAGCTTTTCCTTGCATTTGTCTTAGGTACTCTTGTAGGCTTATATAGGCCTTAGATTATCTTGTAATAATGTGATTTCACTTCTTTCCGCACCACAGAAAGCCATACGGGTCACCACATTCATGCAACGACTGAGAGCTCCAGAGGGCACTGCTGGGCGTCTCCCTGTCACTCCGAGATCTTCCATGAGTGTGTCGCATGAGGTCACTGTGGAAGCCTGCCCTTCTTCTCCCAAACAGTCCCCTTCCCAACATAATATTCCTAAGGCTGACTGGAATCCGAACATGACCCAGCAAACTTCTGAATGTGAGGACCACTCATCTGGGAAGCCAGAACACAGTGGTCCATAGTGCCTGATCTGTCTCTCTTCTTCCTCCAACCAAAAGGATAACCACACAGAAAGACTAATGACATGCTTGCAGAACAGAATTGACAAATCTGGCCACAAAACACTGACTTGGATAGTGATGCTTACCTAGCAAAAATAATGTGTTGAAAGGGGAACAAGAAAGGACTAAGGTCACCGTTAATATTTCAGGCCTAGATATAGAAAGAGAGATGATGGGACTTGATGGCATGAAAACTGACCCTGGACAAATTATTTATAATGTACATTTTCCTAAAGTGTTTTTCTAAGGAAATAGACCAAAACACAAACCCTCTGACGTAACAAAATCAGTGTCATTCCTTAATGAAAGAGGGTGATCTACATATCATTTAACATTTCTCAGAAGCTAGCAAGCAGTCTCTGGTAGACCTGTTCTTCAAGCTAGGTTGCATCATGCAGTCTCTTCCAAATCGTTTCCAGGTGTGTAGCTTATTGCATGTCATCTGCATGTTTACACGTTTTAGTTTGGAGTTTATGCCCTTACTATGCCACAGAGGCCGGTACCCCTGGCAGTAAGGAGATTTAAAACTAATAAAGAGGAACTAACAATCTACAGCTAGTTGATGATTTCTGTTAGCTCTTATATCACTGCATAAAAGGACAGGAGAGTCACAGTTACTCAATGTGATGTACGCCCGGCCTGAACCCGCTGTACGTGAATCCCACGTGACTATACACAAGTCTGAACCGAGCGTGGGCGTCACAAGGACGTGACAATACCACTCTCAGCCTCACCCGAGACAGAGATTTCCCAGCTCGCAGGACACAATCTCAGGCCAGCAGACTGAGAGCGATCGTCACCAGGGTTGGTTAACTCCGCAGTTAAACCTTTACCGACAAACGTTCGCTGCCACCATGTGTTTTTCATAACGGAACACAAACCGCGCCCAGCAAGTGCTGCGACAATTTAAACACTTGAACAATGCCTATGATACGGCTGTCCTCTCAGACAGGAATATGACAGGATTCACTATACAGTAGCGCTCTTCACAGAGGCAAGGATACTTTAAGTTCTTATTTAGAGTGTAGAGATAACTTAACGATTTATTCTTTAACTGCCTCCGGGCCGGCCGTAGTAGTTTTTAAAAACCAAGAGCCCACTCTAGTCGCCTAGACAGAATATTTTATAAGCCCCTTTTGGAGGGTGCCCCGGAGCCGGCCCCTAGGGCAGGGCTGGGGAAGGAAAGCAGGGAGGAGGATAAACCTTTATTTTTCACTATCCCCGCCCAATTCCAAATGATGAAATGTAGCTTGATTTTGTAACTTAGGTTTATGACTTTCGGGTGAATGTGGGGTCGCCTACTCTACCAGACCTGCTTGTTTATATTAGTTGTCCACTGGTAATAGATGAGTGCTTGGTTCCATGCCTTTAATTAGGGACAGCTATAAAAGGCTTAGGAGTTTTGGGACTCACTTGTGCTGGGGGGCAATAAAAGATAACAGGCCAGATAGCAGATCTCTGTTCTGTAGAATGTGGAGGGACCTGGCAAATGACTAAATGAAGGCCTGTATTTGCTCTGACTGGGGAACAAGAGAATTCTATTTTTTAATATTCAGACTCAAACCCCATTATCGTCACACTCAACAACTCCATGATATGGTTAAAGCTGAACTCCAGGCAAATAGCTAAATACACAGATAACTATCACTGAGCTATTTTACCTGCCAAAGGATTTGTATTTAGTCCATTCAGTTCAGAGATTTTACTCTGCTGCAGTTTAACCTTGTAACTGGACAGTAAAAGGAAAAGCAGTACACTAATGAACTCACCTTTCTATCACTCTGCTATCTCCATCTAGCAGTATGCTCCTTGCAGTGCAGCACAACTGGTTGGCTCTGTGTGCTGATTCTCCTCCCAGTCTAAGCTCTGCTGTACAAGGGCTGCAAAAGGCTGACACCAAGTCAAAATTCTGGCGATTATGTTGTTTGCATTACATTTAAGGATGCATTCATGCATATGGAGCTGCATTAGTTATACTTTTATATCTGCCTGAAGTTTATCTTTTAAAAAAAGGGTCCAACACATTATTCCACAAAGTATAAGCTGGACGATTAGCCGGGTAAATCCTTTTCAGAAGAATGTCAGTTACAGGACTCCTCAAACTGTAAAATACAACAGTGAAACTTATATATAGGAAATGTTTTGCCTGCCAAAAGATGTGAACCTTAAAGCAAATATTCCCTACAGTTCTTTATGGCTGCATAGCATAAGGCGGGATATAATTTCCTTAGAACTGTCCCTTTCCCTACACAGTGTTACATAAGGAGAGATATTACTCTTAATGCCTAAATTACTGTAAATTCAGGGCCTGTGCACCGCCTCTTGGGCTACTGGTGAACATTGAGGCCTCGTTCACACCATCCTCCGTGCGTTGCGGCCCAATTGTGTCCACACCCTCCGGCCACACGGCCTGCCGTCCGGTCAGAAAAAATAGTGCAGGCATTGATGTGCCTTGCGTTCACGTGCGGCCGTAAGGCGTGGCTGCGATGCCAATCCAATGCACCGCCACACCCCCTTCCGCCCCACAACAAACTGAGCCGGCCGCAATGCGATCCAGTGCGTTCCGGCTACAATCGGGCTGGTGTGAACGAGGCCTAACAAGCTACTCTTTTTCTCTTTCTCCTGTAAGCCCAACTAAGTGCCTTCTCTTCCACTTAGAGGTTTCTACATACTGAACATTCAGCTGGTGTGTGTCAGACAGTGACAAGAAGATGGATTCACTTGGCCTGAGATTTGACTATGAGAAAGGAGATATTTGTGGATTTTAAATGACCTGCCAGTGGACTGCCACTTAGGCAACTCAGGCTTTGGCAACCCCCAGCATGCATGTGCTGGCATTTATGAAGTTTATGCATTATGCATCAGGCTGATCTGAAGTCTGAAATGCCTGCATTGGGGCTGACCTGAGGTCTGAAATGCCTGCATTGGGGCTGACCTGAGGTCTAAAAATGCCTGCATTGGGGCTGACCTGAGGTCTGAAATGCCTGCATTAGGGCTGACCTGAGGTCTGAAATGCCTGCATTGGTGCTGACCTGAGGTCTGAAATGCCTGCATTGGTGCTGACCTGAGGTCTGAAGTGTATGCTTTTGGGCAAATCTGAGGTCTGAAAAAGCATGCGATGGGGCTGATCTGAAGTCTAAAGTTTATGCACTGAAGCTGATCTGAGGTCTAAAGTGCATGTGTTGGAGCGGATCTGAGGTCTGAAGTGCATGCATTGGGGCGGATCTGAGGTTTGAAGTGCATGCTTTGGGGGCTGGTCTGAAGTTTGAATGCATGTATTGAAGCTGGTCTGAAGTGCATGCACTGTGACTGATCTGAGCTCTTAAATGCTTGCATTGGAGCCGATCTGATGTCTGAAGTGCATGCATTAGAGTTGATCTGATGTCTTAAGTGCAGGCATTGTAGCTGATCTGAGGTCTGAAGTGCATGCATTAGATTTGAGCTGAGGTCTTAAGTGCATGCCATGGGGGGGGGTTTTCTTTGTGATGGCTCCATGGCTAGGCCATGGAGGGGGTAGCAGCCATCCTTTAGGTGCAACATTTTTGTTTGTGCATGTGGGCAGTGATATGGGGGGGGGGGGGGGGGTGTTGCACCAGTTAATCATTTTTTGCAGTCACAGTTGCACTGCTAATGGCAAATTGACTTAATGAGCTTAACTTGCCATTAGCAGTACAACTATAAATGCAAACATATAAAACAAACTAAAGGTGGCCATACACCTTACCTTATAATGTATTTTGTCCCGTCATCGCACCCTTGTTCAATTTCCGCTCAAATAGCCCATCATAAACAGACCAATGCCACTTGCAATAATTGTTCGTTAGCAATACTAACTCTACGATTTTCTTCCATTGATAGAACAGATTTTCGTTTGCGCATGTGCAGTTTTCCGGTTGTGATTTTTGGTGTACGAAAACGCCACTAATCCATCGATTTTCGCCCGTTAGGACAAAAGTTTTCTAGTATGCCCGATCGAGGGAATTCGGCCAGTTGTACAGTAATTGCACTTCCCATTAACTGGCTGAGTATCGTACGCGATCGCGTTCGTTTTTCATACGATAATTGAAAGGTGTATGGCCACCTTAAGACTACAATGCGCTATTCTTCACTGGCATGCCAGTTGTCTACTGCTCGTGAACAAATGTGGAAAAGGTTGCTGACCCCAGCTGTAACTCATGGCAATGAAGCCATGAACGTGATATTCAGTGAGGATCTTTTCCAAGTTCTTAATTTTATTGACGGCAGTGTGCAAAAACTGCAACATTTCTCTCTGGGCAATAAGGACACTGACTGGTGACATGCACCAATTCCTTAGGCATAGCCTTTTGGCAAGGGAAAGAAGAATTTTGATCATTTCAGAAAGGTCAAAGTTAGGCAAGTGCTCTGACACACTGAGTGTTTTATAGGAATGAGTAGCCTGCCTACTGTTCACGAGATCATTAGCTGAACTAATCCTGATAAAATGAGCTGGTTCAAATGCAGCCACTGTGCCATCAACCTAACAACAAATGTTGATAAGAAGAAAATATGCAATGATATTTTTTTCCAATTCCTTTATCCTGGGCAAGAAATGCGCACAGGAACGCAGTTAAATTGACTCATTCATCTAAATCATAGCTAATAAGACTGAACATTAATAAACCATTATCGCTCAAGTGCTTGCACCTGATTTTACCTCTGAGACATTATGAAGGCGTACAAATGAGCTACAAACGTCATTTAAACATACTGGTTTGATGGCTTGCTCTATGAATATTAAAACGATAGGTTCCTGTAGCAGAATCTTCTCGAGAAGAGCTATTTGTCAGCCGACTGCACTGAAATATTTCTAGGTTAATTTAATCACTATATTCATCCATACATGCTCATATTAATAATTGGGGAAAGAATAAAACACTACGCTGTAGGGAAAACTCCACTTTTGTGAAAAAAAATTGATAGAACATATATAATTGCACCAAACTGTTTAATAATTTATAAAGCAATCCCAGGCAATAAGGGAAATCAATCAGTAACTTGCTATTACTAGACAGGAAATATAACAGATGTGCTATAATCCAACTCTGTGTATCTTAATTTGAGTTCCCCATGAGCTCCTTATGATAATTGTGAAGTCTGAAAAACCCCCAAAAGTCTGAAGAGAATGGGGGTTGTAGTACTGTACACCATGCCATCCTTA